CTGCAGTCAGACTTGCTCTGATGAATCTCAGCTGAGTTCATCCAGCATCGTGTGTTCAATCCACCAGGACCTTTCTGGCGCCGGGGGCCCCTCGCTGGATCAACATCGATGGGCGGACCATGGGGCTGACAGTGAAAGGTCTGGAACATCCTCACCGCTATGTCCTGGAGGCGGCGCAGACACACGTCTTCATGCTCATGAAGAAGGTGAGTCCTGTTTTACATTTTGACCAAAACGCAGCCGTTATTGGGTCAGGCATCCTGGGCCAAATGAAGAATGTAAAGATGGAGAAGTTAAAACTGATTAGATTGAAAACACTAAACCAGAACCTTCCCTTCAGGGTGATGACATGCAGTTCTTTATTGTACAGGACACCTTCTTCCGTTACCTCAAGTCACCAACCTACAAGGAGATCCAGAAGAAGGCCCTGAACCCTGAAGCCCATAACTTCAGGTTGGTATGAGCTGGATCCTAGCATGCTTATAGCAGATATCAGCTTCAAACACCATCAGAACATGTTAGAGCCCACAGGTCCAATCAAACATTCTTTATCACCTGAAGTCAAAGCAAATCAAACCCGTAGTCTGATTATTTATTCAATTGAAGCCTGAATCCAAATGCTGGTTTTATAAATAAAGTAGAAGTCACTGAAAAGTTCCTCTCTTTGTTTAACCTGATGAATGTCCAGGAACCTTTGTTTAATAATGCAGTCCTTCCAATGTGGTGATAACTCTGGATGATACGGAAAGAGCCGCTCTGCAGAAGAATAGAGCTGTCCTGCTAAAATGACTGAAATGGTCCTATCCAAGATGAGATGTGTGGCAGGCAGTAAAAGATTAGCTCTCAATTATCTTTTATGTTCATTTTATATTTTTTTACAAATTCCCAGAGGGAGCATTAAGTGGGAATAGCCAAAGGGTCCATTTCACCAAGTGGGTTTACTGAAAACTCTAAACCTGAAATCAGGGAAACTCTGACTTTTCTGTTTAACAAAGAGTTTCTTCATCCTCTGTTTCTGTTGCCATGGTAACATCCTCCCAGAGCTAACCTGGTCAGCAGCAGGTTTTCTTCAGTAAACTCAGAGTGTCCTCTGTCTCTGCTCTCCTTACAGCCAATCACGCTGTTTTATTTCCTGATTTAATCATATTTTTGTTTTAGTTTAATGCACCAAAGAAGCAATAATTCACTAGGTTAGTTACATACATTAGATATTAAGACTAACATTGCATTAGTTAGATGAGGATCTTATTGAAGAACGATCAGCACTGTTTCACAGAGAATTAAATATTTATAGGGAGAGGATTCTACAACTCAGTGACAGGAGAGGAGATTATCTGTTTTTTTAATAAGTTGATCATTTTATTTTTATTTAGTTATATTTACAGTACAGGAAGTACATGAAATTATTTTCAGATTACACATAAATAGATTAATTAATTCCACGGGGAAAAGGAATGACTTTAAGGTTAGGATTAGGATTCACTAGGCGATAAAAACCTACTGATTCTACTGGCACAATCTGAAGCTATTTTATGGGACTGATAGCCGCTAATAACGACCATTTATTAGGATGATAAGATCCAAAACGGCTGCAAACAGACACTTAGTATTTACTGTATAAAAGAGACTGAATCAACATGAGGAGGAACCCATGAGATGATGAACAGGTTCTATAGATTAGAACAACATTTTTAGACTTCACCTGCTGACAACTGATTTCACCTAAATAGATACATTGATCCACCGCCATTCAAAAAATTCAACTTGTAATTTCACTGAGAATGTATTCCTTATATTTCAAACATTTTTCCTTGTCAAAATGCCATTATTCACATCTAGAATAAACATTCTGGAAGTCTAGAAATTGTTGTTTAATCATTTCTAGGTATATAAAACTTAATTCTTAGTAGTACAGTTTATTTTATTTTTTATTATGAAATTCAGTTTCTGCTACAAAAATTTAATTTGGAAAATATTTTATTATAGTTCAGTCTAGGAGTATGATTTTGATCAGGAGGAATCTTATTTTAGAGATCTACAAATGGAACAACAGAGAGGAGAGTGCTATTAATAAATGAATATAAATAAATAATAAATGAATTAATAAAATGGCCTGCCATAGACAAATTCACATACATAAACTCAACCAACAATCTTCTCCATCTTCCTCTGCTTTGCAGCTATAGCTCAGACTCTCTGTCCTTTAAACAATCTCTCCTTTTTTCATTATTGCATTCATATCTGTAGTTCCAGTGGAGTGAAATAGGCACTTCCTGTTTCCTGTTGTCATGGTGATTTGTTGAATCTGGGCTCCACTGATAATGGCTTTTCATACTTGTTACACACGTGTTCAACTCTGTGTGGACCTAATTAGAGTTGATTAAACTGATTCACAGCAGCTTTTATGAAACCGAAAAGTCATTGCAGATTTTAATCTGAATTTGTTAAACCTGCTTTGTGAAACGGACGCCTGGAGAACTGTTAGCTTCTTAGCCTCTATTTGTGTTTTTATTAACTTTTTTTTTTTAATATTACAAATGAAAGGATTTTTATTTTTTTTCTAATCATCAGCAAATGTATACAGTGAGAAAAAAAAATCAATTTAGCAAAAAACAGTTGGAAAAGAACCTAAAATATTTTTGCCAAAGTTTAAATAAATATAAGTTAAAAAACCAAACAAACTGAGCCTTTCCTCTTTTCCCACTCCAGTCCAGCCCAGCTAGAGGAAAACGCTCGGAACCGGAGCGCCGGCATCCATCCCATCATCCTGTGGCAGCAGGAGGAGGAGGAGAAGGCCAAGGCCGCCGTTGCAGCGGCTCCAGTCGACGTCAAGGCTGTGATGAGCAAAATAGACAGGAAGAAGTAGAGAAAAGTGATCCTGAATTAGGTGGAACCAGGAACCAGAGCTGCTGTAGGGTCTGAGTTCTGCTTAGCAAAGATTCCCCGTTCCCATAATGAGACATAAAATGTTTGACCTGAGGAGGTTTAGGTGAAGGTGCTTCATGCAGAGCGCTGCACAGACCCAACAAAACGATACGACTGGTGAAACATCACAGCGCAAACTTCACTGTATTTAAGTCACAAAATGAAAAAATGGCAAATCTAGAACAGATTCTCTATAGAACCACAGATCCAGAACTGAACAACCTGCAGGTGTCCCTCCACAGAAGCAGAACTGGTGGAAAACGTCTGTGAGCTCCAGTTTTCCAGCATTGCTACAGCTTCTCCATCAGCTTTTAAGGCCTGAACACATCGGCTGCGTACGACTTTTCACTCTCTGATCCGATGTTTTCTCCATGTCCCACTGACTGCATCTAGAGAGGCTCCATCTAGGCAGGATGAGCAGATCTAACCAGATTATTTTCACTTCCATCTCTGCGCTTTACACACATTAAACGTATTCCCACATTTGCCTGGATCAGATCATTAAAAGTTATTAAAATAAAAGAAATTATAAGCCACCTGTGCATTCTATGAACCAAAGCTCTACTTAACGAGTCTGAGCAGCATCTAGAACCAGAACAGATAGAGAATGTTTATCTATTAAAAACATAATGAGATCTACGTCTAAAGAAAAGAAAATCGCAGCAATAAACTCTGTGGGACGGTTTCCATGGTGACAGAGAGGTGATTCTCAGAGAGATCTGGGAAGTTTTTCTTTCATAAAGAGGTGAGAGAGATCCGCTGCACTGACCTGCTCTGTCTGCTCCTCCTTATTCTGGAGGATCTCTACTTTATCCGTTTCTGTCCTCCTGAACTCCCATCATGGGGAAAGTTTCTATTTTAATGATTCATTCATTGTTTTTGCTCCAGCCTGTACTGCTTAAACGCGATGTGTGACCCAAACTGACTCTTTCTTCGTGAGATTAACAGATTTTATTTTTTATTTTCCTCCAAAGCGGATAAGTTTTACTTCCTAACCGCGTCTCTCTTCCTGTCAGATCCATGAAATTGCTGCTGAATTGCTGCATAGTCTGAATAAAATAGACCTGGGCTCTATCTCAGTCGGCGCTACGCTGCCCCCTGCAGGAAAACATCCCCATTAACTTTCAATCAGCGCTAAACGCCGCCACCTCTGAGGCACCATTTTCTGTTGGATCGGACGCAAAATCGGATTTGCTGTGTTCAGACCTTAAGTTTGGACTGGACCACTTTTAGCATGATGAATATTAAATCTCACCTCTAAGCATTTTACGAATGTGTCCAGATATCTGCCCTCTGCAGGCATGTGGTGACTGTGGAAAGAAAAGACTTCCTCCCAGCAAGAACATCCAGCTTCATCAGAGTCAAAAAACGGGTTTCCTTCAGTGTGTTTTATGCTCTTTAGAAGATCTTGATGGAAACAACTAAATTTGAAGCAATGACTAAATTTCACAAGTTTTTAGGCTTAGTTGAGGTGCTTTATGTGCTGATGACTGATTTTGTCCTCCGCCCGTGTCCTGAATGCTGCATTAGAATCCCTTTTTTCGTTTGGCGTGTCCAGATAGCAGGTAGCATGGCTAATGCTAGCTGACCTGATAAAGGAAGGACGCCCTGCCTGGTTAGAAAACATTAATTATAGCCTCCCTCCACCGCTGATCTGTGGTCCCTCTGAGCTTTCCTGTTTATTCCAGCTATCTGTAGCCTGGGTAATTTGCTGCAGCAGGGGGGAACATATCTAATTAGCATTTTAAGTTTTGGGATGTTTGCTAAAATCATATTAGATTCAGAGAGAAAAAGCAGTTAGTGTGAGCAGCCATCTGCCGTATCTTCAGGTGGACGTAGGTCTGTAGGTCCACCCTCTGTCCTCTGGCTTCAGGTGATGGATTGATCAGAGATCTGGGAGATTTAACCCCCATCAGGGCTGTGCTTACTGAACCTGGACCATTTAGGGGTATGAGAGTAAAGGGGGGTGAAAAAGAAAAGCAGCTGCAGTAGTTCTGTGATTTTGAGGCCGTAAGGCTTTAATGTTCATTAGTAGGGAGAATATTCCTGACTCTCCATCATCAGACCCTCCATGTGTAACCTGCTATGCTTTGATGCAATAAATGAATCTTTCATGTCATCCTGTGTCTGACTTTAAAATGACCTGATTGGAGCATCCATGAAGTATTTATAAACCACATAATGATCAAACCAATGTGTGAAATATCATCACCGTTTCTGACCTTTATTCTGCAATGGAGGATTAAAACCTCTCTGCTCTGCTGTCCTGTAGAGATAAACGGCTTTATGATCATTTAAATGATAGGAAAACTGTCCTGTTAGTCATTGGCTGCTACAGCATAGAAAACTGGAATAGAATGGAAGATAAACAGGACTGAAGCGCCTCAGATGATGGCGCCTTTCTGACTCTATGAAGAGTCCTGACATGGTTTTCACAGTCATTTTGATCCCTGAGACCCTGGAGGGCTAACGTATATCAGCAGAGGTTGGATCAGTAGTACTACTCAGAGTAGTAGTAGTACTTTTATTTATTCAAGTAAAAGTAAAAAGTACACTGAAGTATGAATAAAAATGATTTGGTTAAAGGCTCCTAAAGTACGTTCTAGAACATCTGAATGAATTATTACTAATAATATAGTTGGACAGATGTTATGTGACGGTTCTGGTATTTTAAAGACTAAAATACATAAAAGAAAAACAAATAACATGATTCCAAAATATGTAATTTCATGCAGTAGAAACAATTTTCGATATAAAACCATGAAGATCAAATGTCAATGATGTAACAGAGTCTAAGCAGCCATTCAACTGGCGACAGGAGAGTGGAAGTGTCCCGATTTGGTGTTGGATTGAGGACCCAAATGCAGAGGCCGGTAGGCAGAGGTGAATTTAGGTGGGTTTAATGAGGTCCACAGGTAGAGAGGCAGGAATCAAAAATCCAACAAAAATAACAAACAAACCAGAACCAAGGAGACATCAGGGGAAAACCAAACTCTAGGAGCCAGGGAGAGACGAGGAAAGCAGACAGACGTTAGACGAGGATCCA